CGTAAGCAAGTTGTGAAAGAGAAACATGATACCACCATGTATTCTCAAAATTCAAACCTAATTTTATATTATTTAGTATTTTTATAGTTTCCAATTTATATTGTAAATCAGAAAATATAAAACAATATTAAAAAATAAAATAACGGAACATTAAATGCAAATTTTTTATCCTGACATGTCCCATCACGCCCTCAAAAATCTTGGAAGGGTGTGAGATGATAATGGTTGCCCCAATCCCATTTCGCACCCATTGTCACATCTAATGGTATTATTCATTTATTTTTAGTTTATTTAAACGTAATATAAAGTTGTCGTTTTAACAAAAATAGTTTTATAAGTGCAACACGGTGAACTAAAAATCCAATTATTACAAAAATGGAAGGTGGAAGGTCGAGGCAGCCACAATATTGAGTTACAGACCTACTTGTTATATATTCAATAGGTTGGGTGGTATCTTTAATTTTCATAAATATTACATAGTAATCAATTTTCAAATAATATTATTCATGTAGAGTTTAGATGATTATCGATAAAGTTTGAATGTATTTTTAGACATTGATAGTGTGTCAATGTCCCCATTGTCATGTACCTAATAATCTAAACTCTAAATTTATACTACTACTCCTTTTTATGCAAATGATAGTCGTCAATTTTACGACTTGATTCAAAATTTAGGCGAAATACATTTTGTGCCACTAATATTCAATCGAGATATGTTGCCCCCTTTTATGACCATTTTATATCACTCAAACCCCTCACGTTCTGGATAGAGAAACTTGGCAAAGGAAATATCTAAATTTCTAATCACTTTTCATCAATAAGCACTACTTATGAATATCATTACTAAATTAACAAGCACATTAGTCCTAGCATTATTCGACTAAAGTTTCGGTCTTCGAAACTAGAAAAACCATATTTTTTTGCGTTGCCCAATAAATATGTCTTCTTTTTCATTTTGCTCATCCCAACGACTTTCGTGTACTCTTTTATCTTTGTACCCTAAAGTTACTTTGGAAAAAACTGAACTCGTGTGGTGATTGCTACTAAAGTTAACGAGTGAACGAAGGTATGAATTTTGGTCCAACTCAAGGAAATAATTAAAAAGCTAATGTCCAATAAAGGTAGGATCATCAAAAGCACTAATCAATTTACGAATTT